CCTGCTTTTTACATAGTTTGCCTGCTTTTTACATAGTTTGAAATAACACTGTCTTTTTTTCTCATATAAAAAAAACCAACAGCAACAAAAACAACAACAAAAAACAATGTTTTTATACTTGATATCTGGATTTAAACTATAAAGTAAGTGCAATTTGTTGTGCATATACTTTAAAATCTACCAAATTAAACAAATTTTCTTTAACTTGGTAGCTTTAGTGTAGCCTTACAAGGCAAACTGTCTGGAGGAAGCAGTAATTTTTATTTGACCATTAGAAGTGGCAAAATTTAGAGCAGTTTTCAGACGCACAAAGTCTTTGTGAGGTTTGAAATGAAAGCCACAAGCTTCAAGCTTTACACAGGCTGGAAACAACTGCTGTGAGTGTAATTTAATTAATGTGGAGCAGAGCAAGATAAGGTGATTGGCCTCCAGGGAACAGGTAGGGAGGATAATCAATTATTAGCTGTGAAAGCTTTAGGACTGAGCTGTGGATGGTTTTCAAATGGTGTGCACAGTAAAATGCCAGAAGAGAGAGAAACAAGATGACTTTAAAGAGTTTTTCATGATACTCCTTTGTAATTGAGTTACAGGAAAATATTGCTGTTTATTATGGGGTTAGCATTGATAAGAAGTTTTGCATAGTTCTCACGAATATGTTGAGCTTTTCCTTGTGTTTCATGACTTGTATTGTTTTATTCTGTAAAGTGAAGCTACATTAGAGCAATGCAACCACATTTCAGCATTCAGACATGAATCTGAACAGCTAGCTCATTCATTCAGAGCAAGGAAATCTTTCCCAAGAAAGAAGAACAAAGGAGGCACATGAGTCTGCTCAGACAGGCAGATCAGGGATTAAGGGGTAGTTCTGGATAAATACTTTACCATGGAGTCACTTGGCAGAGTGTGATGAGTTGGTCTGGTTATTCTGCATCAGTTTCAGCTGAACTGCTGAAATTAAGCCACACACTAGCAATACAGTCCTTGCCAATTAAAAATACAATTTTGCAAAACAAGTAGGGGCAGAAGACTAAGTGAAATTAGATACTTTGTTACTATTTTGTCACTTAATTTGTAATTACTCTTAATCTGGTATTTTTGATATTCTCATTCATATATTTTTAAATACATAGCATATGCCAATGGGGACTAGAATAACAGCAACTAGAATAAAATCCTTCAGCCATAAATATTGTAAAGGTAGCCTTTGATGTTTAGGATATGAAAGATCTTGCCCTAAGTCATGAACTGTCAATACTTTCAACCTGGGAGAATCTTTCACTTTGAATTGTATTGTAAATTATAGTAAAATTGAAAATAAAAAAGACTGCTAATGGAATGGAAGTCAACTTACAGACCAAGCTACAACAGCATCTTTTTATGTACTTATTTTGCTTTATTGGCTAAAACAGCCATTTCCTTTTAAGTTAATTTAAAACAGACATTCTCCCCCCTGGAGTGAAAAGGTTTTATTGAAGTTTTGAGTAAATGCTGATGTTGGAGTCTGACAGAAATAAAATGAATGGCAGTACATCATTTATAACCCCTGACTTGTTTCTTTTTTAATGAATAGTGTAATAAAGGAGAACACAGATCCACTTGTTCTGGTAACCACCTCATACTTCCCCAGAGGCTGATTCATTCAGTGAGCCCAAAATTAGAAGGTGACAGCGTTCATCATATTTTGAAGTTGAAAAGCATTTATCAGTTACTTAGAAAATACAAATGGAACTGGCAGCTAAAGGAGCTTCCTCAAGCATTTGTTTTGTTTTCCATTTTGGGTTTCCTTTTCCTTTTTTTTTTACACTACTATAAATCAAAGTAACTATCAATTTAAATATCCTAAATCCTGTCTTCAAGTTGTACATGAAAACAAAACACAGATTCTTTTTTATTTTTTTTTTCTAAACAAAATGTGCAGACAAGGGAAGCACTAGAGAACTGCATGGTGAGTAAAGGCACTCGTGGGAAGAATGGCTGGAAAACAGGGAAGGATTTTAAGAGTCAGCTGGACCTGATGCCCAAAGGATACTTATAAATGGATCTGTTTGCAGTGTCTGTAAGTGTGATGGGATTTATATATGCCCTGTCAAACTTCTTATGAATAATGTTGGTTATAAGCAATGTCACAGTATGTGACATATGACAAATTCCAAAGTAAATGGGGGCAGATTTTCTTGATATTCTTCAGTATCATCAGCATTTTGTGTGATCATATGTACCTCTGTAACATAGAGGTCAAGTAGAGTTTTTACATGTAGATGAAGTTCTCCTGATTCTTTCGAACACAATATATTACTCATTCATTCTTTTTTTCTTGTCCCCTCCTTATGAAAAGCATATGCAAGCTTGAAAGCTAGCTACTCATAAAAACTTTAGAAAATTCATATGCATTTGATTCAGAATTAATAATCATTTTTTTAAGTATTCCCATTCCTATTATACAAATGGATATACAGAGGCTATAATCCAAGTGTTGCATTAAAGACGTCCCTCATTATATAAAAATTAAGACACACCATAACAGGAAATTTTGGCTTTATTTTTGTGGCTATGAAACCTGTAAATCATGTCCATATGTTTAAAAAGCAAGTCATGCTGAACACAGTAATAAAAGGCATTTCAAACTTCAAACAGAATGTTTCTGTTCAGTAACCTTCCCTCTGAGAAGGTCATTTAGTCATAAGTTAAAAGCTAATGACATCAGTCAAAAACCAGATCTGCCATGAATTTTACGTATCCCATTTAGGCCTTCTGAGTTTTTATATTAAATCTCTGCAATTAAATTCTGATGTATTGATATGAGAGACAACATAAAGCATTTCTATTTTCAAGTGTATTGAATACTAATTTCTAAATCCTTCCTTATGCAGAAGCCCGTAGGAGGGGAAGGGTGGCCAGTGCTCGTATTCCAAGGCATTAACCTGTGTGATTGTAGAAAGGTATTCTCATGTTCTATGAGGGAATCTGGCTAATTCAGAGTGCTTGGATGCCTCTGCTTTGCCACCCAGCACAGTGCCATATGTTAGGTGAAATGAAGAGTTGCATTCATCCTGCTGATTTTCAAAAGAAGGCTGCAGGGCTTTTAAACATCATTTCTAGCTTCTTAGTGATTGCTTTAAGACCCTTCTGGAATTGGAGCGGACTTATTTGTCTCTCATGTTGAAGTGGCTCTGTTTTTGAGGGGGGAGGAGAGCAGGAGAAAGAAAACATATTCACTAGGCAGATCAGAAAGCTGAGGAAGCTCTGCAGATCAGCACTGACAAAGATTCAGGCATAATTAATACAGATTTCTAACTGCTGAATTTCTCTCACTCCTTCCAGATGTCACTTAAAGTCAGAGCCCTGCACACCCAGAGGGCATCTTCTCATCCTGTCTTTTTATGTCAGTACAGCTCTACTGACTTCAGGAATTATTCATTTGTAAGTCTAGCAGGTTTCCACTTAAATTTAGCCTGTGGAAATGCATTCATTTTCCAATTGCTGTGTTGTTAAATGACACTATAAACTACTGCCCATGGGCAGTGGGACTGTAGTAGAGGAATATATGTTAGCTTTCTTAACGCTTAAGAATTCAGCTTGATGTACAGTTTTGGACAAAGGAGTTTTGTTGCTCCACGAGCCACTAGTGCAATCAGTTAATTGTCTGTGTCTGGTTGAGCATGAGGAGCTTGGGCTTGCAAAGCATCATGCCTCTGTTGCTCTTCATCTTTTTGAGGAATGTGCTAATGGTGCAATCAACCACAGGGTCAGTAACCTCAACTGTGAGTGAGGTGAAAAGTGATGGGGTAGTTTGTTCCATCTAAACACCTTTAAGCTTCACTTAAAGGAGCGTCAGGGTGAGCTTTACTGCCCAGCTGGTTCACCTTGATTTGCACTGGGGTCCCATTCTCCTTGTCTGTGCACAGTGTGGATCAGTTGCACATGGACTAAGCTATGGAGGAATCTCCTCAGTGAAGAGTCTACTGTAGAGAAGGAGATGGCCCTGCTGCAGGGCTTCACTTTGTGCAGTCGTATGTCAGAACACATTGTTTGGTGAGACGTCCCCAGGCCACTTCCCAGCGTGGTTAACAAAACCTGTCTGCCAGTGTATTTGTACAGACCTAGATACCAAGATTATTTGGAGGGCACTTGAAGCAGTCATCCAGTGTCCCACTTTAAGTGCTTTACTCAGAGAGAAGATATATTACATTGTAGTGCTTTCTCCAACAGCTCAGTCCACCTTACATGGCTGGGCTCTAATTTTATTTTGAAGAAATCTATTTTTCCCTATATAAATTAAAACAAGACATCAAAAGCCATTTTCCTTTCCACATGTTGTGTCAACATTTCCATCTCTGTTGCAGTTGTTTAATTTCCTCTGTTCCCTCTGTTCAAACTGCAGTAAAGAATTGGAGAATTCAGCAAAGGGAAAGAAACGATTCCGTCATCAACACCACCACTTGCAGTTCAGGACTGCTGCTTACAATATTTTGTCTGAAACCAGATTTCATTGGTCCAGAAAATAATACTGCCCTTATACTTGTTATAGTCAAAACACTGTTATTCAAGCCTCAAGCTGGTGAAAAGAATTTCAGTGCAAAGGACATATTTTCATACCATTGTAGGCCAAAAAAAAACCACCCATCTTTTCCTTCAGAAAATTGCTGAACAGTTAGTACTAGTGTGGCTGCTATCCCCTTAGGGAGGCTAACATGCTACAACAGGAACAAATAAATAAATCACACATGCCTGTCAGGCAGACATGGGAAAAATGATTCTTCTTTACTGAAATTATTGGACTTAGTGACCTTGTGTCTACCAGTGTTTGGGCAGGAGCCAGTCCCAGAGGGACAAACATAGAAAGGCTGTACATGAGGTGGCTTTTGTTTTTTGCTTAACTTCTTTTTGTTTGGCAGAGTTTTAAAATAACAGAGATTAAAAAAAAAAAAAAAAACCAACAACACAAAAGCACTTGAATAACTGATGTATTTATTTTCTTATATACAATTAAATATGGCACATCTGACAGTAGTTGTACAATAAATTCAAAATGATAATTAAAGCTGGACAGTAGATCAAATAACTCAGTGCTGACCCTATTAGAAACCAAATCCTGCACACTGAATTTCTGAAGAAAGTTTTACCCTACAGTTGCATTAGCTAAGGATTCAGAGGCTAAGATTATCTAGTCTCAATTTCTGAAAGTCTGGCTGTTGACTGTGACTGTTACCAATACACCAGCTTCATCTTCCGTAGCATGACATTGAAGTGACTCTTTCTGCTCTTACTTCCACATAGACAGAATTTCATCAGTTGTTTTTACCTCTTAGAGGACAGTTATCAATGCCCCAGAGGATTGACCTACAGTTAGTGATTACTCTAATAAATAAATGCAGACTGGATTCATTCTTCTGCTGTTAATGTGGAAGATGTTCGTTTTTACTACTGTTTGAAAGTCATTGACAGCTACTTTGCAAAGCAGTGGATTTCTGGAGAACTGGAGAAGCTGAGTCAAGGATTTTCTTTGCTTTGAGACCCATGAGAATTTCTCTTCTCCTTTGGACATCGACAATGCCTGGGACATGTTGGCTTTGCAGTTGGGCATGTTCTGGGTTGGGATGGACATTTGTCCTCACAGCTGTTTGATAAAGGAGAAAAAAAGCAAAAAAGAGAGAAGGATTTTAATATGATATTCTTCACTGTTACATTCCTCAACTTTTTCATCACTGGACACAGCAGTGTTCTCACACCTGGGACAATGCTGACACCATGTGATACAGGGAGAAAAGACTTTGTTGCTGGATACTGCTGTCCTCAAGTTTTATGAAGCACTTTTGCTCACTGATGCTTCAGCTTTTGTTCTCCAGGACTAACAAGCATGCAAATCTGGCATAGAATTACTGTGTACAGATTACAGTCATTTCTAGAACCTAAACTTATGTAAACAAATAATAGCACTGATATCCTCCTGCATCCAAAACTTGTAAATGACTGAGTCTTTGATGATGTTTCAACTCTACTGATTCTTTTAACTATGTTACAGTTGTTGACAAGTGTTTTACGCCCGTCTTTATTTTCAGAGCTCAATCTAAAGATGCAGATGTTCATCCTTCCACAGTTTCCTCTCCATTAATGAATCTAAGAGGTCTGTGACAATGGACTGTATGGGTGACCACTCAGCAAACTGCAGTTCTGCTTTAATAACCAGTGAAACTCAACTCTCAAGTTTCTATTTATAAGCTTTCAGACTGCATACTTGCATGCTCTTGGATCTGTACACATGACAAGGGCTCTATGAAAACAAACAAACAAAAAAAACCACAAAAAACTATTGCATGAAAAAAGAGTACTTTATATTTTCTACTTATGTTTTGCCAAAGAATCCTCAAAACTAGTTACTCAAAAGGATTAGGGGAATGCATTAAATGTAACAGTCCCAGAACGATTTTCCTGCTTCCCCATGCTATCAGTTGAATGGCTTTGTATATGTACAAAATTTCATTAGCTCTAGTAAATCATTTGAGGACAAACATGGTGAATAATGAGCTACATGATGTGGGTGTTAATCTAGGGTACCTTTGCCCCTAGAAGTATGTGAGACTGCACTGGGTTATCACAGAGAACAGAGAGTGGGTTTGGACACCCTAGAAATGCAAGACTCAGTATCTCACTGTAAATCGTCTTGGTAACATAGTAATTTCAAGTGTAGCACAGTTTTAGCAGTCATTCCCTTAAAATTAGGAGAAAAATAATGAATACACATAGTTGAATAGCATCCTTGTTCGTATTTCTCAAAACATTAAATATCTTATACTCCTTCTATCTCCTATCTATTATTATTATTATTATTACATCCATAATTGCAGCAAGTGATTCTGTACTGGATGGCAATCCTATCTAATTCAGCACTTGCACCTCCAGCATCTACACAGGCTAATTCAGACCTTGCAGTATAGCCACTGAGTGGCAAGGAGCACTTACCTACAGGTTTCTGCATGAAATATCTTGTGTTTCTGAGCACAGCTTTCCTGGTTCTCTCTACACAGATAGCAGCTGCAGTTCTCTTTACTTTGAAAGAAGTCTGTGGGACACTTCTGCCTGCAGATGCATTCACAATTTTCTTCATCAAATTCCATGTATTGTCCACACATAGCCAGCTCAGCAAGAGGAGGGAGCCCTGCAATAGCAAGTACAACTTTCAGCAATAAGCTTTACATGGTTAAATTCTGCTCTGGAAGAGGCTGGCTCTTTTGCTGCAGCCAAAAGGGTTCATGTACTCTCTAATTTATTTTGGTCTTCTGTTGTAACTTACATTGCAGAGAAGAACTTTTCAGCTTTTTCAGGACAGGAGTGGGCTGATTGTTTCACTAATACTGCTATTTCTTATGGGTTGAACCCTGCATAAAAGTACTTTATTTTGGGGATGCATATTAGAAGTGCCAAATGTTAGGTTTTGGGACACAGGCATGCTTACAAGAGAGCAGATTTCAAAAAGAAAGCTCCCAGGATTTAGCATATACCCCTCGCAAAGCTGCCTATCCACACAAACTAGCATACTCACTGTTCAGCGTACTTCGCTATTCCCACACTTTGTTGCAGAATTTTTGCAGAAGTAATACTATGTCTAGTAAGATGTAATCCAGTCTAGTACTTCAATAAGCAACATATGCACACTTGTCAGTTAAAGGAAGGAGAAAATACTCTGTTTCAGAAACAAACCCCAGCCAAGCAAACACACTGTCTAATACTTCATCTGTCTTCCTTCAAAATACGCATCTGGACTATAATATGAGGTTAATCCTAGAAAAAAAGGGAATATATTTTCTGAAAGCCACATTAAAATGCTGGCAGCACATCACTGGTTAAAGGTCATGGCTTATAATGTGTCAGTGGGAAGATAATTTCCTGTAATTTTACAATTAACTATTGGATTTAACCTATGGAATGTGGAATGTAACCTGTGTCCATGACCTCTGCAACCTGAGCTCTGATCTTACTGACCAGAACGGGCCTGTACACTACTTGAAAGAAACCTTCAGAATTATTTGCTTAATGATGGAAAACTAATATTCAAAAACTTAAAAAGAAAGAAGAAGGAAAGGAATCTGCCACAAATTCTTGGAAAACAAACCACTTCCTTGGGGTGATAAAGCTTGGCATGTACGAGTATTTCAGCCTTGCTTCATTTCAACATCAAAGGCAGATTTTAAGTTATTTTATTCCAGCCACAGCCAAACCCATTGTGCTTCACAGAATGATATTTTATCTGAGGAAATATTGAGTTTATGTCAACAAAAGCTATAATTTAACAAGCCACAGACTCTAATCTCCAAGCTGACCTTACAAAAGGCTAAGAGCAAAGAGGAATCTGGCTATTCAGTGTCCTTTGGACATACTCTGATATATGGTGTACTAATTCTTTCTTGAGTGGAAAGCCTAACTTGAGCTTAACTACTTTACTTGATGGCCAAATGAGCTGATTCAGAATGAGAGCAGATCCTACAGGGAAAAAAAAGCAACATGAAACTGATCTATTAGCCTTACGACATCTTAATCAACAGAGCACTTCATGAAATTATTAGATTCTAGCTTAGCTTGCTTGCCAGCTTCTTTTTACAGTTGCCTTGGTTTATTGTTTGGTTTGCTGAGTGCAGTTTAAATCAGATGGGCAAAGCTTCCTTCTGTGTCCATCTGCTCTACTGCTGTCATGGTTTTACTTCAACCAGCACAATTTCCTAAGAAAATCATGTGTTGTTTTTTTTTTTGTTTGTTTGTATTATTTGTTTATTTTTAATTTTATTCAGGCCATGGGGAAATTTTAACTTTTTTCCTAAAACTTACTGCCAGTAGGTGGCTTTATACTTACACAGTTCCCTCACAGAATATTTCCTGCAAATTTATTTGACAGTAAAGTTTTCCAGGAAAAGCAGAGAGAGAAAAGAAGTACTGAACACTTGTATTAATTTTACCCTCTTCCATTTCCTTCTACAGACCAGAAGGGGTACACTTGCATACTCCTGAACATGTATGGTATATCAGTTTGAAAGCATCCTAAACATTTTAATATAATCATAAAAGATAATCAAATCATTTCAAAGGTCATATAACCTTTTGCAATGACTACAGCTAATAGGAGGAATTGCTTTTACCCATCTTATTCCTGATATAACTGTTCTCAAGAATGTCCCATAATGAAAATTCAAGACTTTCCCCACAATATATTCCAAGGATAAATGGATTTCTACAGTTAAAAGGTTTTTTCATAATGTATGTTATACAATTTAAGGTTAATATAAGATTTAAAAAAAAAAAAATCAAGAATGGCCACTTCATGTTTTTAGTACATTCCTGTTTCTTATTGACTTGTTTCTAGAGGTGAAGTAAAATGTCCAAGGAAAAAATATGAGATGGGGGTAAACGTACCAATGTTTATTTTCAGGCGAGTTTCTACATTGTAAGCAAGATCTGTCTAAGGATGTAGAATCAAAACTGCTCTCACAACAAGAAGTGGAACAAAGCCCATATGCAACACAAACATCCTGCAGATAATAAGCAGAAGTGCTTCGTTGTTAATTTAGTTTTACCTTCCCGTCTGTTTGAGTGCTGTATGTCTGCAACACATTCACATTTGTCACTATCCCAGACCCATCCATTATGGCAGAGTTTGTTCGTAAAGGGACAACTAGAAGGGGAAAAAAAAAAAAAGAGAGATGGAAATTTAAAAAGTAAATATAAAGAGCAGCAGCATAGTCATTTGGTGGAATGAACCTACTGATGTTCTGCCACTGTGTGAAGCTGTGGCATCTGTGTGCATTACTGCTGCAAACAGAAAACCTTGACAATGGATGATGGGGCTGGATCTCTCTCTATTTTACAATAAGAGTAGTAGATAGAGCATATATTTCAGACTACATGCCGAAGAAGGAAATGGCAACAATTTTGCAGCTCCACTTTTTTTTTTTTTTAACTTTTTCTTCCATCTCTGCTCCACCCAGGGTACTCTTAGTCTTAGTATTCATGCCATCTATCTGTATGAGACATATAAGTCTAGACAGATACAGTTAACATTAAATAACCCTTTAGATGTGTTTCTAGAGTGCTTGTTGAGTTAATTTAGTGAATTCCCATCAGGATTACAGTAGTGCTTTTACCATATTTTGGAGTAAGATGTGAAATCACTTTTGGCCAAGCTCTGAACCTGGCAGATGCAAACCAAGACTGGAGGATAATTGCAAAGCCATGCTTTGCGTCACTTCTGACCCAAGGTGCTGTGAAGTAGAGTGGAGTTCTTTATGTTGACCTCAGCACTCTTTGTATGCCCTGGCTGGTTAATGTGTGAACAGTTGCTTGTGTCAAGTCGGAAAATCTATGCATATCTACCCAAGTAGCTCCAGTGGAGTATAGTGATAATATTTGATCTTTGAGTCCCCTTTCAAACATCTTCATGTCCTAATGACTGCAGATCCTGCTGTACTAGTCTGCTGCTTTCTGGATTCCTGTTTCCATTCAGTATTATTTACAACATCCAGTCAAAGTTTTATTATCCTGAGTGATAATCAAGATAATTGGAAAACCATTTAGGATAACAGAAAGTGCAGGCACCTTTACAATGACCAAATCAGAGCAAAGCAATTTTCTTACTTCAGACAGCATAGGTAGCAAATTGTAAATGTGTTAACTTACCCATCTTCTTCTGGGTACTGGACAGATCTTCGTATGATGGTGTACTGGTGACGCTGGGTGTTTGACAAACACTTACAACCGGTGTGATTGGCAATTTTGATTGGCACAGGCTCTGGAACACTTGTCAAAGGAACCGAGATCTCAAAGAGCTAGGTGGGTGAAATAACCATTTTATTTTTTTTTTCAGTTTCTATTTTAATATGTGAAGTCTTCAATAAAAGCGTTTTATCCTTTGCCACCGTTTGCCTCACCATTGCTCTTTTTTTATCAATAGTTACCACAGGTATAAATAAGCAAGTGGCCAGTGAATGTTCTGAAGTGAGGGATGGACTATGTCCACCAAATAGAAGCTTGCCAAAATGATCATACTGGTGCTATATACCCACCATTGTCCCAAATTCTTCATATGGACACTAAAATGCCTCTTGTGTATTGCTAGAGCAAGATGAAAAATATACGGACATTGCAAACTTTATTCTCAATTGTATCATCAGCTGAATCTTAACAACTTATGGAGATATTAACTGTCCTAGAGTACTCACACATTGCATCTTTAGATCCCTAACTTGATCCCCCTGGCCTCCTCAGAGGAGGAAGAAACAGGAGTAAATAAAGGACACTTTAATTGGGTTCTGTTTATTGGAGAGCCTAAAGAAACAAGAAGCCTATCTTCAGTGCATGCAAATTAATGTGATCTCTAAGAGAAAGTCCTGGTTCTTTGCGCAGCAATGTATAGGAGGTGTTCAAATTATACACAACCCCTCTGCCCTGGCAGACCAACTTCCTTCAAGCGGAAAATAAAGCACAGGGTACTTCTCTGCATACCACCTTAGTGCTGCATCCATATTCAGCATCTGGAAAATATTCCTAGATCTTACACTTTAGATTTTTAAATTTAAGTGTCACAGTGTCTAACTTTGGGAATATCCTTCAGTGGATATTTTGCACAAGGAAAAAATACTCTCACTTATACAGGAGTAATTCTGCTGATTTTAGAGAAGTAATTCTGAGCTGACGGTAGTGTATGCAGGAGTGGAATTAAGGTGAGAACTTTCGAGGGAATGGTTATTTCAAGAGCACTAAAGAAATGCAGAATTGCAGCTTTTCAACAAACTTAGGAACTGCTGTTCAAAAACCAAGTAAGTAAATAAATACTTTTTAACCTAGGTCTCTGAGCTGATCAGATGACTTTTGTGCGTGGCCATAAGCGCCTTCTCTTTCCGGCATGGAATTAAAACAATTAATGAGGATAGGCCCTGATTTATTTTAATCTAACTATATTCCAGTGCAACCAGACACAAAGAAATTACATTCCAAAAAAAGCTGTAACAATATGTAAGTGAATCAGGCCTGCTGCTTTCAAATATTTCCCCATAAGGACTTACATCTTTTTAAAACAGCTGCCTCAATCTTGGCTCTGAATTAAAGAAAACCCTTTTTGATAACTAGAATTTAATATATTATTTCAAGTACAAAAGGTTTTAAAAGTGGGGATGCCCAAGGTGAAGATAAATCTGAGAAGACCAGTCCCCTGGTCTTCATATAGTTTCAGATGTAGAACTTAGAACTGTGCTAAGTCACCCATTGGAGCAAGATATCTCTGTACGTAGATGCTAAAGGCAGTCTACTGAAAGATACTCTCTGGATACTCTTTATGCTCACATTTTGACAGTGGTCATTAAAACTCAGACATTTATTGCTACTGATTTAAGCCTTTCTTTTCCATTGTGATTTGTGATATTCAGATCCCAAGGCATTCATATGGAGAGCATCTGGCCTCTTCTTCTGAAAAAGCCTCTTTTTTTAGGCTTGCAAATTCAAAACTATCAGCCAGCCTTGTGGAATTGATGTCAGTTTTAAAAATACAGCTCTCAGACTCTTGGCCCCACACAACAACATTTCCCAAACTCTCCTAATCCTTTGGATTTTCACAAGCCAATGTTCTCAAGGGTCCCAGATCCAAGCAACAATATGTTAAATAAGGATTAAACCCCTTAAAATCACATGAGCCTACAATCACTTTCTCACTGCCTGATTTTCCATCTCTCTGCATACACAGACATTTTTAGTAATGCAGCATGAGTATGAAATGTTATTGCACATGCCTGCATTCACTCCACGTGGATAAAAAATTAATTCTCCTGTTTGTTATGGTAGTGCAGACAGATCTTTCATAACAGGATTTCAGAAACCAAACATCCTTTTTTCCCTCCATTTTTTGAGAGCCAGGCCAGAAAGAGAGCAAATAGCTTCATTTACCGTTTTTGACACATAAGTTGTACTTGTGTTCATGCAACTCAGACTCTCCTCATTGCAACAGCCTCCACATCTGAACACATTCACACAGGGTGGCTTGAAGAACTTGTTGGTTGTCGTACCCAGCTCTTTGGCAACTTCCACACAGGTTTCCCTTGGCACACACTGAGTCTTCTGCCATTCTTCATCTATGACTAGAAAGAGCACCATTTTTAGTGAGCAATTGTGGCAAAGTAAGCCTCTGACTGGTGAGGTATTACATAATTAAAATGAAGTGCTGACAGGCCATCTGCACTTACTTGGATCAATGTAAGGACCAGAGAGAGGTAGAGTACAAAATTATCCCAGTAACTTACACCAGCTGCCCTGGCAAAGAGGTTGCTACATTTATCTGCCTTCACTTTTCAACACAGGTGACCAAAATGTCCCTTAGTGTCTATGGGATAAGTAGGGCTGATTGGTAGTCAATGAATCTATGTCCTGGTGGAGGCTAATCACAAGTGGTATCACCCAGGGGTCAGTCTTGGAACCAGTGCTCTTTAACATCTTTATAAACAACATAGACAGTGGGATTGAATGTACTCACAGCAAGTTTGCTGGTGATACCAAGCTGAACAGTGCAGTTGACACAATGGAAGGAAGGGATGTCATCCTAAGGGACCTGGGCAAACCTGAGAACTGGGCCCATAATAAGGCTCAGCAAGACCAAGTGCAAGGTGCTACATTTGGGCTGCAGCAATCCCGTGTATATGTACAGAATGGGTGAAGAACTCTTTGAGAGCAGCCCTGTGGAGAAGGGGTGGTTCTTGTGGGTTCTGGTGGACAAAAAGCTGAAATGACCAACTTCCTGAGCGGCATCGAAAGAGAGTTAACCAGCAAGGACAGGGAGGTAATGGCCTCCATCTACTCTGCCATTGTAAGGCCCCCTCTGGAGTACATGCATCCACATCTGGCCAACACAAGAAAGATGGGGAACTGTTGGAATGGGTCCAGATGGCTGGAGCACCTCTCCTGTGGAGATAGGCTGAAGGAGTTGGTCTTGTCTATCTTGGAAAAGAGGAAGTCCTGGGGAGACCTCACTGCAGCCTTCCAGTACTTGAGGGAAGCTTATAAACAGGAGGGAGACCAACTTTTTACACAATCTTACAGAGAAAGACAAGGGGGAATAGTCTTAAACTTGAAGATGGAGATTTAGGTTAAATGTTAGGAAGAAATTCTTAGAGCGTGGTGAGGCACTGGCTGTCCAGAAAAGCTATGGATGCATCCTTGGATGCCTTGGATGGAGCCCTGGGCAGTCTGATCTGGTGAGTGACAGCCTTGCTCATGGCTGAAAATTGAAACTGATTGGGCTTTAAGGTCCCTTCCAATCTAAGCCATTCTATGATTCTGTGATCCCTGCTGGCAGAGGATGAGATCCCGGTGCCCACCCACCAGCACATTCTCAGATCCTGCAGGCAGTTCCCACCTCCTTCTCCTGTCCTGCAGGACAGTCTAAAGTTGCAAACCCAGCATCTCACTGCCCTACCCCTCAGTAGGCATGCAGAGCCCAGGCCTGACTGGAAAAGCACATTAATGATTAACAGACTCTGTTCAGAGAGTATTAGTGCTCCCACTGGATGACAGCCAGCCAGCACTGTCTCTGAGCTGATGAGCAAAATCCAAGACAAACACTCTCACAGCTAAATACCCTCAGGGTATTCAAGTTGGAATAACAGGAATACGAATTCAAGTGTGTTTTATCTATTCAAAACACTGTGGCATCTTTCAAATACTGAATTGGTGTAGGCTAGTAATTTATTTCATACACATCTATCAAATACTGACTGTGAGAAGGAATAATGCATTCAATGGCTGAAGCAGTGAGAGAAAACGCAATACCATCTCAGTGCTTCTTAGAAGTGGCCGTGCTTTTTTTTGCACTTTTGTTTTCCAGATTCCTGTTATGGAATAAGTTGATAGTCAACAGTGCTTATGCTTTAAGTCCATCTTCAAATTAAGGAATTTTTTTTTCCTGTGTGCCTCCTTTCATCAGGTTTGTGAAGGACAAGGAGCAACTTCTATCAAGAAAATTGCTTTCACTTCTATTGCAGTCCATCTTCCTGCTATTACGCCACCGGTGTGTGCATTTACAGAGAAGTTCTAAAAAAAAAAAAAAAATTCTGAAAGACTTTTAATCTAAATGCTGTACTTTTCTTCAGATGAGCCTTTATTTCTCCCTTTCCTGGCTGACTTTCCTTTTATTACTTTTATTTTTTTTCCTCAACTGACTCTGTACGTTTAAATTAGTTTGTTTATTCCTGCAAAGCCTTTCCTCGGGGTCGATTCATGCCACTTTCCAGTCATACAAAAAGTACAAGAAAAAAGAGTTTGGAATCTGGATTCTGATTTTACTTCCTACAGCATGAATTAAGAGCAGGATCACTAAAATCAATAGAATTCTCTGGAGTAATTGAGTCAATCAAAACAGCAATCTAATCCTAAACCTAAAAATAGAAAATAAAGTGTTTGCCAAACTTATTACAGTACATGCATGTAATCGCTTCAGATGTCACTTCAGTGAGTGTAAGCAGTGACCTTTCCATCTGTACATATCCTCCCTTTATTAACCACTTTTGTAACAGAAGGAATGTTCTAAAAAAGGTCTGATCAAAAAACTGGATGTCACATTTTGTTGTGAAACACTGTGATCACTCTGATCTTTTCTGCTGCAAAATTTAGATGCAATGAGATGCACTCAAAGCCCGAAAGCGCTGCTGTTGCAGGTGAGCTGAGCTGCTCTGGGGAGACTGTGGTGGCATGGGGTGAGGTGAGCTTTCAGCGAGTTCATCACTGAAGCTCTAGAAAGGAGGAACAAAGTCCTGAATTCACAGAATCACAGAACCACAGAATTGTGGAGGTTGGAAGGGAACTCTGGAGATCAACTAGTCCACCTCCTCTCTCTGGGTAGCCTGTTCCAGCACAGTCACCCCCAAAGTAAAGTTTTTTCCTCATGCTCTTACGAAACTTCCTATGTTTCAGTTTGTGCCCCTTGTCACTGGGCACCACTAAAAAAAAGCATGGCCCCATCCATTTGACTCCCACCCTTCATATATTTATAAGCATTGACAGGATCTCCCCTCAGCTTTCTCTGTGGCCCCCTTCTGGGCTCTCTCCAGAATTTCCCTTTCTTGAACTGAGGAGCCCAGAACTGGACATAGTACTCCGGATGTGGCCTCACCGGGGCAGAGTGGAGGGGGAGGATCACCTCCCTCAACCTGCTGGCAATGCTCTTTTTAATGCACTCCAGGTTATCATTGACTTTCTTGGCCATGAGAGCACACTGCTGGCTCATGGTCACCTTGTGTCTAATGGGACACCCAGGTCCTTCTCTGCAGAGCTCCTTTCTAGCATGTCAGCCCCTAACCTGTACTGATGTGTGTGGTTATTTCTCCCCGTGTATAGGGAGGACTTTCCATGTTCAATTTCATAGGGTTCCACTCTGCTCAACTCTCCAGCCAGTCCAGGTCTTGCTGAATGGCAGCACAGCGTTCTGATACGTCATATGTCAGCCACTACTTCCCAGCTTCGTATAATCAGCAAATTTGCTGAGAGCGCACTCTAACCCTTCATCCAGGCCACTGATGAAGATGTTGAGCAAGACTGGACCCAGTACCAATCCCTGGGGAACATTACTAGCTGTGGGCCTCCAACTAGACTGTTTCTGATCATAACCCAATGAGCTCTACGGGTCAGCCAGTTCTCAGTCCACCTGACTGTCCACTCATCTATCCCACACACTTTCTAAGGTTACCTGCCAGGATGTTACGGGAGGCGGTGTCAAAAGCCTTGCTGAAGTCAAGGTAGACAACATCCACTGCTCTCTGCTCATCTACCCAACCAGTCATGACATCATAGGCTACCTGATTGATTTCCTGTTGGTGAACCGACGCTAACTACTCCTAATAATCTCCTTTTTTTTCTGCTTGCTTGGAGATGACATCCAGAATAAGTTTTGCCATCACCTTCCCAGGGACAGAGGTAATCTGGCTGTCCTGCAGTTTCTCTGCTCCTCCTTCTTGCCCTTTTTGAAGACTGCAGTGATACTGGCTTTCCTCCAGTTCTCCCCCATTCTCTATGACCTTTCAAAGATGATAGAGAGCAGCTTGGCAATCACTTCTGCCAGCTCCCTCAGCACTCATGAGTGCATTCCATTGAGGCCCATGGATTTGTGTGTATTGAGGTTGCCTAAATGACCTTTGAGCAGATCCTCCTCGACCAAGAGGAAGTCTTCCTTTCCCTAGATTCTCTCTAATCTCCTGGGTCTGAGATTCCTTAGCAGTAAAGACCAAAACAAAGAAGGTGTTCTGTATCTTGGCCTTCTCAGTATCCTCCATTACCAGGGCTCCTACCTCATTCAGCAGCAGGTCCACATTTCCCTAGTCTTCTTTTTGCTACTGACGTACTTAAGGAAGTCTTTCTTGTTGTCCTTGACCTCCCTCACCCGGTTGGAGTCTGGGGTACTGTGGGAGATGGTTTAAGAGTGAAGCAATGAAAGGCCTAGACCCAGACTTCTCATCATAACACTTTACTAAAACAAAACAGATGCCCTTGGCAAAAGGGTCAGTGCTTACTGACTGGAAAGAGTGTGGGAAAGAAATATATGTTTATAGGTCTGTGGTTGTTTTTTTTTTTTCCTAAAGGAGCTGTAGTACCTTGAGTGTATTAAGATATTAAAACAAAGACGTTTCTGTCCTGGGATAATTACTCTTTGGATGGAGGAACGGAGAAGATGACCCAATAGTGTGACATCTCTGTGTCTAAAGTTAGATAGTTAAAAAAAATAGGAAGTGACCTAACAGCTATGCCACGTTGTTATGAAAGAGTTATATCTGTATGCCTACAGGCATTTGACATTACCTAAACAGTCATTAATTAAAATCCTCTTAATTGTTCTTCCATTGTGTATTGGATGTTGTTTTGTTCTGTTGTGGGGCTTTTTTTTTTGTTTTGTTTCTTTTTGTGTATGTGTGTATCTTTTTTTTTTTTTTTCAGTGCAAATGTTCTATGAGAAGTTTAAAGCCAGGCCTGTCATATGAAAGCCATTTTCAGACTGGCACTGATCACTGTATTTCTGTGCCATGTCTGGAGTAGCAAATTAAAGCCTTTGCTTTGTCATAAATTAACTGAAATGTAGAAGTAATAAATATGAAAGCGACACTCATGGTGTGCAAATGTAGCTGTGGTTATTGTAATAGTGATGTTGGAACAGAATCAGCAATATCTGATTTCCCCAAAGGAACGTGATATGGTCATATCACTTTAGATTCAAATCTGAACAAAAAAATAGCTTCGTCAGTACTTGGCTAGGCTACAGTGCAGCTTTGCTGTAGGATATCCACCTCCTTGATGGAAGCATAGCAAACGATCCTTTATTTTACATCAGTACATCATATAATGGCCCTCATGTCTCTCACTTGGAGGGAACAGCATTCATTTTTGCTTCAAGAGAAGGAAAAATTGTGATTCTCTATACTTAGGTGCCGACTGGCAGTTTCAAAGTCTACTTCTTCTCCCAAAAGATATTTTCTCAAACAGAGCAAGAGTATTAGGACAATAGCTCCTTCCTGCAGTTCCCACCCAGACACTAGTGCTGATGCAGTGTCTTAGATCAGAGTGCACCTCATAAAAAATGGAATTTCAATGCCTGTTGTAAAGCTCGTTTGTTTCTGCCTGTAATTAAATTCCTGTATCTGGCACAATACTGCTGGCAAGCCCCTCAGCCCATCATTCCAGACCACTCTTTGCATGTTTATTTCCTGTCTGTCTTTGGACTGACATATCCATACATAATAGAACTTTCCTTTGGACAGTATACAGTACAATAAGCCTGATTTGGCTATGAAAAGGGAGATGTACTCAGGCTGTTGCCTCACATTTTTTCATACAATGTCATTTTCCATGAATACTGTGCTGCTTCCAGTGCAGGTGTCTTCTAGGAAACCTCTGGTACTTAACCCATAACTAAGTAAGAAACAGCAGTCCTGAAGCTGCAGCTAGACTCAGATGCAATACTGCACCTACCTTTCAGTGTATCGATATCATAGAAAGCAGCAGCAAATCTGGTGGAGCGATGTGATGCAGAGCGGGAGTCTAAATTGGCCAGGCTTTTGAGTTTTAGCCTGCATTTCCACAGCTTCCAGTCCTCAGCATGAGTTATTCGAAGGAGCTCTTCCAGGCTGGATGCCCTCCTGATCTGCTGCTCTGATCGCTCCAGTGCTGACAGAGATGTCCTCTGGAAGGAAAGGAGGAAATGAAAAAGCCAGAACCTTAACAGAGCTTCTGGATGCTCTTGCACAAGAGGCAGCACATTGATGAGAGCAGCTAAGAATAGCTGGGACAACAGCTGCGTGTTTCTAATGGTACCTGAAGTCAGACTGACTTGAGAGATTTGTTCCCGTATAGCTTGGGATACTCACTCCCCAGTCTTTTCTGTCCCAATCATTGGAGCTGATTGACAAATGCAGGCCATACTCTCTGTGTCCCTGCTCCCTAGGAAACCTGGCACCCATCAAGTCATTTCTGTGCCTGTGCTGGCATGTCACACCAGGACTGGATCTCCTTCACAATCTTAGTGACTTCAGCTGGCGTGGACAACCCACTCAACTTTGCAGCAAGTCACCTCAGGTGTCAAAACTGGTGTCTATCAGAAAACATCACTGCAAGACAGGTGATAGAGCCAGAAGCTGCCCTAAGTACAAGGGCCTGTCCACCTGGTGAGCAAACACAACATTCAGCATACTGCAAAGTGCAGAGCACGTATTCCATTTCCCACGCTACCATTTGGCTCATGTGCAGGGCAGTCAAGGCGGCCTCACTTCCAGTCTCCACGTTTGGCTGTGCAGCACTGTTACCCCAGTCATTGCATTTTCTGCCTTCTTGGTGTATAAGACCATTCTTCACTCCCATGGTAGAGGGCTCCTTACAGAGGCCTAGTTTAAGTCGTTAAGCATTACCTTTTTAACATAAATTTAATGCACAGCACTCCACAGCAGTACTTGTTTATTTGGCTGCTGCCTTCCAGCATCTGTGTTTACGCCTTTACCAAGCCACTGCATATTTATTTCTACTGACTCACTGAGTCTGCTGGAAACTATTGCCTCCAACCCAAGCAAAAGATTATCATTGTGCACAACTGTGTTGCACTGGGCTGGTGCTCTCAGTTGTGCTCTCTGATCATGCAATTGACTGTACTTTTTGACTTGCAAATTAAGGTCTGCTCTGCCAGCTCTCCTAAATAATGCACCACGTCTTATAGGCAAAGCTGAAAGATAGAGTTGGTGATGAGGAGCTTGCAGCCCCAACCTGTAGCCAGTTAGTGTTCTTCATAAGGCTGGAGAAAAGGTGAGGGGAAGAGCTACCTACAAGAGGAAAAATTTTCAATGAGATTTAAAACCTAGGCACTAATCACATCTGTTATTCGTTATTAAAACATCTGTGGCATTTATTTTGCAATCATACAGATGTCAACTTGTATATACTGCCCAAGTTCATTTTTGCATAATTACCTTCCACTGACCTAAAAATCCCTAAGCAGTTAACTCAGAATAAATTATTCTCTCTTCTCTTATGCCCATATGGAACAATGTATTGTGCTCTGGCAAGTTGCTATGTTTCATTACAAAGATGGCTGTTTTTCATAGGTGTATGATTTCTCATACATTTATATGAGATGAAAACTGGAAAGCCCATCTCTATACATATGGACAATGTCAGAGGGAATGTGAATAATTAGCACCAGCAACTGAATTGCAAGACAGTTTTAGAAACAAGATACCCAGAATTTTGCCGATCTAGGAAGGCTGAAATTCAACTTGAGGATCATGTGTTGAGTTATTTGTTCTAAGAACCACAGCTTATATTCTTTCCCATCCACCTACTGTCTCTTTGACTCTACAAAAGATGGGTATAGGACCCACTGTGATGAGGCACTGGGATCAAAGATATTAAAATTGAACTCAACTAAGCATTTACAAGATTTTTTTGTCTACAGCAAAAAGATTTTCAGCCTGGATCAGCATCTAAAACTTTTAAACTTGAACAAAATTACAGAAAACCAGTAAAATGGATGATGGTATCCTGTAAATGAAAAGACACATCTCTCCATTCCTTGTGGAAGTCAGTAGTTTAAACTTGCTTTTCCATTTATTTTATTTAAATACCATGTATTTTTTATTGATGATTACTAGTAATTTTAAACGTAAGATCATACATACACATGCTACATGGTACAGAAAGATTTCCGGGCTTATCTAACTCAATAATTTTTATTACTTTAAGTGTTTTTATATTTCTAAAGCTACAGAATTTCACTGATGTGTAAATTCACTGACTTTATGCCTACTAAACAAAGTTATTGTATGGAAAAGGGAATAAGTTTTATTAATAGAATTCTATTTTGTACCCAAAATTCATATCTGGTAGGTTTTGAACTGCGGTAATTACAAAACAGTACTCCTGATATTGATGTATTATAGCAGTGTTGACAAAGCCTACCTGTGTATGCAGTTTTGTTCCTTCCTTTTCTGTTATTGGAAATTGGAGAAGTCAAGGGAAATGGAAAGAACAGTACGCATTATAGGGTAGTCATTAGAGATTAATCCTAATTAACTATGCCGTGTTCATCCAAAACTCACACAGAATCCATAGAACTAAGTTATCATTTCTCTGTCAACTCAAACCTTGTTCAGTGTGGCCAAGGCTATTCAACCCCAAATTGGATCAGCTGCCTTTACCCTTTTATTTTCTTAACAAGCACCCAAGCTCTGGAGTTAATGGTATAGTCAATTGCCTCTCAGCACAATGCCACAACAGCTTTGTTCCTTCTTCTTATATCTGACTTCTTACTGGAGAGAACAGAATTTTCTGCTGATTTTATAACTTTCACAGCAACCCAATACAGAATTTGCTGATGTCCTTTACCACAACAACAGCAGTACTGTGATAAAGTGCTGTCTCTTGCTCTGAGCACTGAGGACAATAAGCATGACAGTGAATGGAAGACAAAGACAGATATTAAGAGAGCACTGAATCTCAAGGAATTGTAAATGTTTATAGCGTGGACATCTATTGAGTCTGTGGCCTAGTTGTTCTCAGCTCCCTCTGCAGCTAATAGAAATACTTGTAAAGCATGATTCATTTGAAACTGAGCTTTAACTGGCCAGGCCACAAGAGTTATCTGTTGTGGATCTTTGGTCAAACAAGTACCACTGATATTATCAGGGATATAAAATGTTTGAAGAGAAATATCTCATTTTGTTCCAACCTACCTAGGTGCCAAAACAGGTGCAATAAATACTGTCTTACATATTTTTTTTTACTTCACTGAGACCATTACAATGCATTCACCTAGTATATTCCTTTATACTCTTTCTAGAGTGTGGACAGTTTTCATTGTTTCAGAATCTCTCATTCTTATATACTTTGACTACAGAGGTAGAAATCCAACACCAGCAGGACATGGCACTATAGCCTCAGATGGAACATTCTCTTGTCATGGCACAGTGGCAACGAATAATGTGTGGTCACAAAATATTTCCCAAGCAAACATTTATAGTCAGCCTGTTATTAAAAGGTCAGCATCAAAAGGAAAACATAGAACATTTTATGGCCTCAGATAATACGATAGATGGCGTACGGTATGATTGTTAATACCACACAGATGTGAACACTTCTTTCATGTACAACGGTTTGAAATCAATCCTTGTTTAGTTATAGACAAACATACTTTGGCTGTGTGAAAACAAACGAAGAAAAAAAAACACACTTTGAAGAGTGTGGCTTTGCACATAGACGAATAAATGTTTTAAAATAAGAAATTGAAAGAAGGTTCTTCTTTAACAGCTTGCTATATCTACCCCAAGTATGATGGTTAAGAACTTTATCCTCTCTCACAATGATCTTGAATGGGCAGCATGCGAAAAGTCCACTGACATTTATGAAAGTTCCAGATCCTCAGAAATAGCAAGAGGAACAGAGCCACTTTTTCTGTTTCTCGTGACTGCAGCCACCTGCATATGATATTTCAAACTTTTCAGAGACCCCTAACTCCTTTTTTATGCTTTCTTTGATAATTATAGCTCTTTCTTCCAGATTCCTCTCCATGTCATGGTGCCATCTGCCTCAACTCTGCCTTCCTCATTTATTTCCCGGCTCTAACTTTTGCCACTCTGCTCTTATCATCTTGTACTGCTTGGATCCCACTGTCCTTTGATATTGTTTATTTTTACTTTCTTCCTCTGTAGCCTTAAGAAATGAGTCAGGTGCAAGTTTAATGAGGCCAAACTCACACTGAGTTGTTCAACCTTTTGGTGTAATGGGACATCCACTTCTCTCTCTGCCATGCCCTCACCCCCCTTCTCTTAGGTCACAGATCTTGTTAGTTAGATGAGATAAGCCATCACTATGGTTATTGGTTGTGATGGCTGAAAAGAACTTCACTGCACTTGGCATTGCTTATATAGTCAAAAAATGGTAATGTCTGGCCCTAAAAATGTAAAAATTTCCGTTCAGGCTTGGGAGACGGAAAGGAGAGCAAGAGACATTGATAAAAGGCCAAGACAATGTATATTACGTGAGCCCAAGAAGAAAAAAATATATCTTTGAAGCCATATCACTGGAAATCTTCAAAGAGGAAAACCTTTGTCTTGCAGCATGATAGTGCTAGTCCCAAACCATTTTGAATATCGTGGAACTCACTGCCAATATTGGCTGGACTGTTCTACTACGTTCATCATATAGTCCGAATTTGACAACTTCTGACTTCCATCTGTTCAGGTTGATGAAAGATAATCTGCGTGGGCAACATTTTCCTAACAAAGATGCCATCATAGCAACTATGAAACAGAAAATCCACTGGTGTAGATTTTTATGAGCTCGGCATGCTGACTCTTTCTGATGAGTGGCAAAAATACAGAGCTAATGGTGGTGACTGTGTTGAAAACTAGTGCTTGTAGCTGAGAATTTGCTCTATCAAATGGTGTTATTGTGCTCTTTGTATCTATTGTAGTTCCCATGGAAATAAATAGGAAGCATTTCTTTCAGAGTGGCCTATGTACATAATGTCATTGCCTATAATAAATTTTTGCTTCAAGCTCATCTATAAGAAATACTGAATTAAAGTAAAAGTAGTAGGTTTGAGTATTTCATTCTTATCTCTAGAGCTTGTCAATAAGGTACATCAAATTAAAGTGAAAGTACTAGATTTTCAAAGCATCAGAATCAATCTCATACCCA